GTGCGGTTTCAGAGAAATTTCCTCCTGTGAACGCTTTGATTGTGGAATGAGCTACTTGCCGAGATTGCCCCTAGAGACTGCAGAATGGAGTTGCTCAAAAAGAATGTAAATAAATTTCTTCCGAGTCGACTGTTCGTAAATTTAATGAGAACACGTGTATTATGATCAGTACATTAGTTTTCAATTTACATACATACATACATATCTGTCACGCCTGTCTCCCATTAGGGTAGGCAGAAACAATGGAACGCCAAATGCTTCGATTCAAACAAACCTCTTTCGCTTCTTCCACATTCATCAATCTTTTCATACACGCTCGCCGGTTACGGGTACTTTTCAATTTATTGTTTGTATAATTAGTAAGAGTTACAAGACTTTCTATTATCTGCACCAATGTATTACTGAATCTCTCGCAAAAGAGCTAGAATTAATTCATACTTTTTGTTTGCATGTCACATTATCAATCGACATCGCATCTATTTCTTTCCCACATATATTGTGAGACAAATGAGAAATGAGCTCTCTACTAAGTCTCCATGCGCTAAAATATATCGTTCTTCGAGATTCTATAAAATTTTAAAATACCAGCATCGTTTTAGCTACCTCTCTTATATTGCAAATTATTATAGGCGACGATATCCTCTTTGTAGTGGACTGTAAGCTTGTTTTCCTCTATCAATAAAAAAAGACATTGGCTTTGCTCATTCGCTATATCATTACATTATTCTGGTTCAGACAATATTTATAGTTATACATCTTTAATATGAATCTGCTTAACAGGACTGAGGTGATACGGTTGATTGCGTCAGTTTATTTTATAGTATCGCTCGTTGACAAGCCTACAGAGTAATGCAAACAAACAGAAGTAGGACGAGTTCGTACAGATAACTAAATGGTATGACGGTCGGTGTAAGAAATAATAAAATGTACACATTTCTAGAACAATTTTATATTTAGCTCATTTCATGTACAAGTTTTTCTTGACCAAGATATTTTTCAAGTCGCTTTAAATAATTAATTGAAGTTAAATTTTCCATAGTATGTAATATCGATTAAATTGTGATAATATTATAGTATACCAGAGGGAGACTTTGTACAAAAGTCGATTGCTTGGGTACCCATATACCACATATGGCGTGAATTTACTGGGTACAGAGGAATAACACCTGAGTCCTCAGGAATGGCAACGCATGGGGGGTATCATGGGCGAAACAGTATACTCTGTTACATCCATGGTATTGCTCATGTCTAAAGGCGACGGTTACCACTTTCCATCAGGTGGGCCGTCAGCTTGTTTGCTATTCTAAGTTGCATAAAAATGCTATTTACTTGATAATCATCATCACCATATTAGCCGTTAACTGTCCACTGCTGAACATAGGCCTTCCCACAAAAAGGGGTTTGCCAATAGTTACAACGCTTGGCAGACGAATTGACAACCGCAGTGAAGCTCTGGTGATGTTATACTCGTAAGAACACAGAGGAACACAGTTGCTCATTTCTCGACCATTATGTTCCTTTTTTTTTTTTTTTTTTTTTTTTTACAACACAGGGGGCAAACGAGCATGCGGCTCACCTGATGGTAAGTGACTACCGCCGCCCATGATCACCCACAACACCAGCGGCATTGCAGGTGTGCTGCCGGCCTTTTAAAAAGGAATATACTCTTTTCTTGAAGGTTATGTTGTCGTATCGGTTCGGAAATACTGCTGCTGGAAGTTGATTCCAAAGAAGGGTTGTGCGTGGAAGAAAGTGCCTTGAAAAACGCACGGTGGAAGACCGCCACTCGTCCAGATGATTGGGATGAAACTTTAGTTTGTGGCGGGTTGTACGGTGGTGAAAATCAGCAGCAGGTATCAATCCGAACAATTCCTCAGAACACTCCCCATGATAAATTCGGTAGAAGATGCACAGAGACGCAACATCTCTGCGCAGTTTCAATGGTACTGTGGCGCTCCTGCCCACAGGTGAGAACAGTATTCCATATGCGGCCTGACTTGGGCTTTATATAATTTCAGGCGGTGTTCTGGCATGAAATATCGTCTCACCCTATTGAGCACTCCTAACTTTTTGGAAGCTATCTTAGCCTTCTCCTCCAGATGACCGCAAAACTGGACGTCGCAAGATATATCAACGCCCAGAATTCCTAGACTTGACTTTTTATCAAGGGAAGTGCCCTGAAAGTGAGGAGATACGACAAACGGCGTCTTTTTTGCGGTAAAGGCGCCTTTTAGTAGCTTCTTACAATACTCATGGGAAAGGAAGGAGCGACTCATTCTATGCCGGGACCACACGATATTGTCGTTTGAATTATCTTATTAGCTGCATGTATACATTAACGTTCTCCTCTCCTAGACTCAAGACTCACTTCAGAAGGTCAGAATATAGTTTTCAAAATAAGCTTACCATTACCAAGCAGCTTAGCATAATTTTATTCTGTATCTTCTTTATTTTACATTTGTATTTTGCCCCTTATTTTCCTAGTCGACGACATCTTGTAAATGATAAGGAGCGCTGTCATATTATATTAATTCTTATTAAGTCACCATACGGATAACTTTAACGACACGAACTTTGCAAAACTCCATTTGAACTCTACCTTCTGTTAATGATAGAACTTGTGGATTAAATAAAAAGGCGTCAAGAAAAAGAAGTACATAATTAATGAACTACTTTGAATAACATTTACACTGTGTACTGATCCAGAACTATTCACTAAATGCTTATATTTATTGGCATATTAAAAGTTACTTTTATATACAACACCTTAGATTATCTAGATAGAGTATCCAGTCTCAAAAACGGTTCAACTTTTTATCAGCTAATTGGCAAATTAGCTGACTCATTTTTTTATCAGTGTTTTTTTATACTTACGCATACAATGTATTTTGTTGTATCTATATTTAAGTATTTAATAACAAGAATGAATTGTTATACATTAAAAAGATGCAAAAATTATAAAACAAAATAAATATAGAAGTTATAAGGGAAACACTCGTAACTATTTGTCATGCAAAATTGTATAAAAAACTTGACTCGCTTTTCTCGAAGCATTTGTATGGAGACACTCTATCTATGTAATCTAAGACCAACACCTACATATCAATGTTTTCAGATCTATAGAGAGATAAATTTTATTAGAATAAATATTACTGACATCGTTAAATAAAATTCAATAATTAAATCAGTATCGAGTGGGCAGAAGACAATTTTGTATATCAAATTTTAATATTAATATGTAATTTTAAAATTATTGTTAAGACATTATACTAGCTAACTGCTGAAGTGAGGGGGAAAGGAATTGTTAGTAATGGGGTCTAATAGCCCCATTGCTAGCAATATGGGCCTCTCAGGTCGACCTCCACGCGGTTCCCCCTGGAAACCATCATGTTTAATTCTTGTCGAATTCATCATGGTGGGCCAACTGACTTACATTCATTCTCACCTATCATCTTCCACTGGTGCCTCGTCGGTGTATACCGGTTGTGCAGGCGGGGTTACTATTCCATTTTCATCCATTAAAAAAAAAACTGCTGAAGCGATATATTTCCAGATTAGTTATTTACTTCAAACAACTAAATAGTAAAACCAATTTTGAGATTTGATACAGTTTTAGTTAACATAGATAGATTGATAATATCAACCGTTACTGTCCACTGTTGGACATAGGCCTCCCACTATTGGGGAGTTTTGCCAGCAGTTGCCACGCTTAAAAAGCTGGTTGGCAACCGTAATTAACCTTCGGTGAGATTTTAAGAGGGACGCTACCATGTATCCTTCGACCATGCCATTCCTGAGGACTTAGGTGTTATTCGTCTGTAGGTACCCTGTAAATTCACTGCCGTATCCCACCCTTCAAACTGAAACATAGCCATGCAAACATAACTGCTTCACGGTAGAAAAACAATTGGGACAGAGGTGCTCAAGCAAACGACTTTTATACATAGTCTCCATATGTATAAGTAACTATAATTATATATTATTATATATCTATATAATTAGAAATACAAGTAATTTATTTATTGTTTATTTTGTTGAACAACCCTTTGTTTATTTGCTAATCAAAATTGAGTGTACTGTCGAGCCGAGCATTCAATTTTAAGATAAAACAAAAACACAGAAGAGATTCAGAACGATTGAAATAGAATTGTATTAACCCTTCCCTTATCTTATCTGCTAAACCTTTAGAACCGATTTAATTGAATCGATTTTCAGTTACAATTCGGTATCATCGGAAATCGTCTTATTTTCGTGCGATTTCAAAAATGGAAGACATTCTTAATTCGATTGTTTTTTTTTTATGTGTATGTTACGCGAAATCTGCATTGTTTTTGATGATTTTTTTTTCTGTAAACAATATAGCTTTTAGGTTTAATTTTCATCGTTTCATGAATGAAATTGACTGTTTTTGTTGAAGTATAAATAGTCAAATTTTTACAATAGTAATAATGTTATTATTTTTATTTACATTTTAATTTTTATACTAGGTATATATGGGAACTAAAAATTATATCCGTCTGCTTGGGTACCTCTGTTCCATTTCTGCTGTGATGCAGTTGTCTTAGCATAGCTGTAATTCGGTTTAAAGAGGAGATATTGGCAAAGCAATTACAGGATATAGAGACATAGCATCATAGTCCAGAGGAATGGCGTTGCATGATCGTATCCTTTGCATATCGTTGCGTAACATGGGTGACACAGTGTATACTGTTATGTCAATTGTGCTGTTTATGTCTTTAGGCGATGGTTACCATTTTCCATCAGATTGCCATTCAACTTGTTTGCTATTTTATATTGGATTAAAAATTGTACTAGTTTTAACCATGACTTTATGCACGTGATCTATCCATATATTTTTATAAACATTTCCCGTAGTAAAATTAGTATCGACTATTTTTTATGGTAAAATGTAAACAACAATATAGATAAAAATTATTGCAATACTTTTACGAGTAGTATTATAATAACTTTAATTCACGCATAAAACATTTTTCTTTCAGACTCGCGTTCGCGTCATGCCATCTATGATTAAGGGTCCCGGATGGTCCCAAAAGTAGTCGAGCATTCACGACAAAAATACAAGTAAGTTAGCCTGGCTATTTTTACATTCACAAGAACAATTTGGTTTCCAATATTTTTTCTCTTCATTTCTCTTTACTAAAATTAAGCACAGTTTTTCATATTCTTAACCTGAAACTGTTATTTTTATTTTTATAAACGATAAGATATATATATATATATATATATATATATATATATATATATATATATATATATATATATATATATATATATATATATATATATATATATATATATATATATATACATGAAATATACATGAAAATATATCGTACTACAATTATTATTTTCGATTGCCATCTTGCAACCCTATTGCGGAATATAAAAATCGCGATTAAAATACAGGGGTTAATCGTAAAAGGGTGAAAATTTAAAGTTGTATGTATTTTTCAATGCTAAATCATATTTAAATAAATATAAAAAAAATTGTCAAAAAAATAAAAATAAAATTTTCGGGGTGGGTCACCCTTATCAGTGATGGGTATAAAAAATAGATGTTGGCCGATTCTCAGACCTACCGAATATGCACACAAAATTTCATAAAAATCGGTATAGCCGTTTCGGAGGAGTTTGGTAACAAACACCGTGACACGAGAATTTTATATATAAGATATATATACATTACAATTAAATGTATTTACTATTTTATAAATGATGCAATAAAGTGTAAAATAAAAATATATATTTTGTATAATATTATATATATATATATATATATATATAACACATTTAAACATTATTAATACTATTATTATAAATGTGGAAATTTGTCAGGATGCACGGACCTTTTACACAAAAAGTACTGGACATATTTGAATGAAATTTAGAACATGGGTAGATTCCAACCTAGCTCACAGAATATTTAATGTACTGAAATCACAAAAATGACACATAAAGTATCCTATCCAACTTGCGAGTTGCAAAAAAGTATAAATAATAAATTCCTACCCCAAACGTTCAATAGTTTAATCTTAACCCATTCTCAAATTCCCTTCACGATACGAACAAACTGACAGTTCATAATTATTGTTTTAGTTTATTACATTATACTTATTTCTACGAAAACTCGAAGCAATTATTGATAGTAGAATTTTTAATTAACATAAACTAAAAAGCAACAGAACTGTCTGTTTGGGAAATGTTCGACATAAACCTCCATACACTATTGGGTATCAGGTTTCAATTAAAATGATACCAAAACATCTCGATACTAATCTATGATAATCACCATTTTATTCAGACCCCATAGGTATTAAGAATGAGTTGATTGAGTAGGGTTCGATGAACTGCCAGAGGTCAGTATAAAATGGTACTTTCCCACAGATTAAATACTGCGATCAAAAATAAGCAGTTTTGGAATGGCCAATAACTATATTTTCCTTCTGAATGGGTGTACTCTGAGATGTGTCAGAAACTTTATGGTCGATACTATAGCACGATTTTCTAAACCAATCTCTAATATTATAAAATCATTTTGATATCATAGCAAAATTATTATAGATAGATAGATAATTTTATTTGCATTACTTACAGCACACAAATTACAACATACATACACAAAAAAAAGCGAGATAACATAAATGACAAAAAAATACACAAAACCAAATGCAACTTTCGTCAAACATAAACTAAATTTTAATAATTATTATTGATTTAATTCGCTTTAATCCAACTTAATTCACTACAAAATGGTATATATATATATATATATATATATATATATGTGTGTGTGTGTGTGAGTGCTTGTGTGTTTGTGCGTGCGTGCGTGTATGTTTGTAATTTGTGCATATATAACTATATAACTATTTTCTTGCTTCTTAAAGAAATACGAAAGTTCCATAATAAATATAGAAAATCTATCGACAACAAAAGTATGAAAATCGATTCAGAATTGTGTCTATTTAATTGCGTGACATAGCCGCAAAGAATAATTAAACAAATTAGAAAATCAAGACGCCTAACTGCATATGAAGTGAACAGGCAATAACTTTCAGACCGATTTTCCAAATCCATCTATCTCTATCTATATCTTTAAATCAATATCTTGTAAACCAACATGTGGCTCCTGCAAGGTTATGTTCCCCTAGTACTTTGATATTTAAAACACTTTCTGAAACTATGTTCAATAGACCGCAAAGCGAATATAAAAAAAAAAAAACTTGCGCGTTTTCTAACCGCTACAAAACTGCGTTTATTAAACCGGTTAGTAGTAAAAACTACTAATCACTTGTAGTGTGTGTAATAGTAAGCCATACATTACAGTTTTGGCGGTTCAAAACCGAGCGCGGTTAACCGCAGTGCGTACTAAGACCGTAATCTCATAGTGGTTTTTCAAGATTTAGTTACTTAACAGACACGTCTGTTAGAACATACATGTGAAAAATTTGCTTAATACAAATGGTAAATAAACCATAGCCCTCACTGTGCACATAATCAGCACCATATATATTTCAAAATACACACCATGATACCATTACGTGCATCCATAACCGGTAATTCCATATTCCATTCCCACTTAAAGGGTGGGTAGATATACAGTTAAGAAACTGCAGCTGCTTGGCTTTTGCGCAGTTTCCTTTTGGTTGTTTAATTTTAAGTTTATTTTGTCTGAACATGGAACTTTCTATAATTGGTCAACTCGACTTTTATTTATTTGATTTTAGTAATATTTTGAGATAAACATTACCTTTTTTTTATGAAATATAGAATGGCAAACAGGCTCACGGCCCGCCTGATGGAAAATAGTAACCATCACCTATAGACATGAATAGCACTATAGACATTACAGGATACACTATTGTAACCATGGTACCCCTTATGCGTTGCTATTTCTGAGGAAATATCTAGGAAATATCTGTAATTTTACAGCCATATCCTACTCTTCAAACCGAAACACAGTTATGTAAGGGCAGTTGATTCACAGGTGAAACAGTGGTACTCATAGAGACGACTTTTATACAGTTTTCCTCTAGTTGGCTGGCCGCATTCTAAATTTAAATATTTTCAATCTAATTTGTCTACGAAACGTATCACTATGGATCGCTGTCGCTGTGTTTTCTCACGATTGGAGTTCTAAATTTTGCATATCAAAATGTATTTATCTATACGCAAAATATTCATAACAATTGTCACTTCCAGTCAGTTTAGAATATCAATGTCCGCTCGTGACGTTTCACACGCTCAGCCGCTGCCGGCGATCCGAGCGGACTAGTAATGGGCTATGAAATTATTCACGTCGCTTCCCCATCCGCATACCCGTTTTGGGCGTATCTAGACACTTTTAGACATCTATGGCATTCTGTTGGAACACTTACAGTGCAAAGAGAAGAGATTATAGACCGTACACTCTGCAAAGCTTCGTGAACGCAAAAACACGCGTTTATTGATAAAATATATGTATCATATAATTTAAATCATGCAGAAAAACATTTTTATTATTTATTTTTTATAGCATAATTAGAATTTTTATATTATTTATTTTTTCCATTATTATAATGTTCTATTTAAGTTTTTGGTGAGTAAAGTAAAATAAATCTGTAAAGGTTGCCAAAAATATGTATTTATTATATAATAAACAAATAAATAAATTTTAAAGTTAAGTTATATATTAAATAGTATATATTGCTTCTTGAATTATCTTTATTAAAGGGACTGTTGCTTTCGCCTAATATGAGATACTAGGGGGGAAGGAATTGTTAGCAATATGAACTACCAGTCCCATTGCTAGCAATATACCCTATCAGGTCGACCTCCCCATGGTCCCCCTTGTATACCATTGTGCTAAATTTCAGGTGTATTTATCACGATGGGATAACTGACCGGCTTTTATTCTCACCTATCATCCCTCACTGGTGCCCCGACAGTGCATACCGTTAGCGCAGGCGAGGTTACCATTCCATTATCATCCATTAAAAAAAAACGAGATACTTCTTATATATAATCATTATCATCATTTCAGCCGTTACCCGTCCACTGCTGAACATAGGCCTCCCCCATAGACTGCCATAAGGAACAATGCTGAGACACCTGTCCATCTTATATATAATATTACTGTATTTTTCTAGTTATATATTTTTTATACCACTTAGAATGGCAAACAAGCTGACGGTCCACCTAATGGAACGTGTTAACCGTCGCCTATAGACATGAGTAGTACCATGGACATAACAGAGTATACTGTTTCACCCATGATACCCCCCACGCGTTGCCATTCCTGAGGACTCAGGTGTTATTCCTCTGTACCCAGTAAATTCACGCCATATCCCACCCTTCAAACCGAAGCACAGCCATGCAAACACAGCTGTTTCACGGTTGAAACACAATGGGGACAGAGGTACCCAAGCATTCGACTTTTGTACAAAGTCTCCCTCTGGTGATTTTCTATTCTATTCTACTTTTGATCAAGTGGAGAAATACGATCATAACAGTTTTTTATATATTTATTAATAGTAAAAAATATAAATAAAACTCTTTTGTTACATTCTCTCCTATTACAAAGATTGTGACGCGCTGCTATACAACTCTTGTCGTAACCATCATTCGATACCTTTACATACGAGTATCTTGTTTCACATTCAAAAGAAGCAATGTCTGCTTCTTACGTATGAAACATGAAATCTAACAGTTATTCTTTTTGCCACTGAAATATTAGTAAAACACGAGTCCTTTGGTAATTCAAAACTTTTACAATACCTCTCTCTCCGAGTAAGTAATTGAAGGCAAGCTACGAGTTTACGCAATAAGGAGACAAAGCTGAAATAAAATACTAATATCTATATATAATATTGCCGTGGGGTCCCGGCATAGAATAGGCCACTCCTTCCTTTTCCGTTGGTGTCGTAAAAGTCGATTAAGGAAGGGCAAGGGATCGTCCATCGTCAGCAACAGCAGCAGTGTCCCTCTTCAAACATCTCTAAAACTTAAGTATAGTTGCCAATCTACCTCTTTTGCCCCCCAAGAGAGGTAGATTGGGACTGTACTAGTTGCCATGATTGGCAACT